CGACGGGCTACCCTTTCATTTTGATCTGGCCTTTGATCCTGTGCAGTAAAGCCCTGGCGCAGTATTCCGGTGCCTGGTACAACACTGAGTGGCTCAGCACTGTTGTGGTACCTGGCCCTAGTGAGCTGGTTGGTATTACCGGAGCGGGTCACCTTCTGGGCCTGGTGCTCCGGGGCTGCCGAAACGTCGAAGTCTGGTCCCGCGGCTTCCTAGGGCCTGGGAGTGGTCTGGTGAGAAAAGTATGTCCTAGCGGAGATATATGAGTGAGCTGGCCAGAGAACGGGGGGAAGATACTTTCATTTGGTAGTGCGCCAGGCGTCCGCGGCCCACATCAGCTCGATTGACTTCAGACGGAGAGGACTGGCGCGCCTGGCGTGCTCAGCCCAAACCGCCAGTCTGGGGCAAGGCGCAGGTAGCCGTTGACGGATATGAGATGAGGGAATGACTGGACTAAGAACAGGGGGGGGGAAGTGCGTCAGATGTTCATCGCCTGCATCAGCCCCGGAGACTTTGAAGGGTGCGCGTTGGTGGAGGAAAGGAAAACGACGCTGAGGAGAAGGGATGAGGAATAGTATGCACGGCGTACCCAGTCCGCCTCCCGCTTCGATGTTGACAGGGACAGCGCGCTGAGGGCGTGTGATCTCGAACAGGCGTAAGCGGACAGGCTAAGGCGAGTGAAGATTCGGACCGCGCTCAGGGAAGGCGTATCTGACGTGTCCAGTATAAGTTTGTGCTCTGAACAAAGTTCAGATGATCCGTTGACAGGGTGGTTGGAAAGAGACTGGTGACCGTAGCCTGCGAATCATCTCCAAGGATCGGGTATCTTGGAAGAGAGGGGAGACTTTGTATGTGGACGAAGTACCCAGCAAATCCTCGCCCGATTCGTAGCGAGCGTTCATGACACAGGCGATTCAAACACACGGGCAGCTTTGCAGGTGGTTTTCAAGGTAAGGGTCTACCATGAAGAGAGGGACGGACACTTGCAGTTTGCACGGGCTTGATATGCCCGTTTCCCCACTGAGGAATTATAAGCGTTAATCTGCCCCGAAAAGCGGGGCCAATACATGCAGTATGCACGGGCTTGATATGCCCGTTTCTCTATTGAGCAATTACATGAGTTAATCTACCCCGAAAAGCGGGGCGTATACATTCAGATATTTGGGCTTGATATGCCCGCTGCATACTTACAGAATATCAGCTCTGAATCTGTTCTCAAAATAGGAGCGAATGCATTCAGATTTTCGGGCTTGATATGCTCGTTTCTCTACTGAGCAATTATAAGCGTCAATCTGCCCTGAAGAGCGGGGCGGACACTTGCAGTTTGTACGGGCTTGATGCCCGTTTCCCCACTGAGCAATTATAAGCGTTAATTTGCCCCGAAAAGCGGGGCCAATACATGCAGTCTGCATGGGCTAGATAGGCCCGTTTTTTTTTGAACAATTTAAAAGCGTTAATCTGCCCCGAAAAGCGGAAAGAAAACTTGCAGTCTGCATGGGCTTGATATGCCCATTTCTCTACTGAGCAATTACATGCGTTAATCTACCCCGAAAAGCGGGTCGTATACATTCAGATATTTGGGCTTGATATGCCCGCTGCACCCTTACAGAATATGAACTCTGAATCTGTTCTCAAAATCGGAGCAGATACATTCAGGTTTTCGAGTTTGATATGCCCGCCGCATCCTTCCTAAATATAAGTTCTGAATCTGTCTCCAAAAATTGAGGCGTATACCTTCGGGTTTTTTTCGCGTGACATGTCTACTGTATTATTCTGAGAATATAAGATTGGAATCAACTCTCGAAAGTGGGGCGATCACATACAAATTTCGAGGTTGATGTGCCCTTTTCATACGTTTCAGAACCCGAGCTTGGAAACTGTCCCCGAAAATGGGGTGAATACATCCAGACTTTGGGCGTGATATGTCGGATCATGTCTCTCACAATATAAGCGTTGTGCCTTTGGGAGCAGGGCCAACACAGTCGGATTTTGGCCTTGACAACCCCGCAGCATTCTCCTCGGATAAAGAACATCGAACCTGCCCTCGGAGAAGGGGCAAATACATCCTCGGCCTGACTGTACTTCTCCAGATTGTTAAGAACGAAATTGTTGCATAGTGGTGAAGCGAAAGAGAGAACTGTGAGGGAGGGAGAAAGAGAACAGAGACAGAGAGAGGTACAAAGAGAGAGGGGAAAAAGGAAACGATGAGTAAATAGAAAGGGAAAGAGACAACAGAAAAAGAGAGAGAAAGAGTACATCGAGAGAAAGAGAGAGAAAGGGGCGGCATATCATAAATAAAGTTGACAGAGAAAACTCCTTGTTGTGGATCTCTCTGAATTGCGAGTTGACTGTTGGAACTCACTGTAAGGTGAACTTGTGGAACCTCCTGCTGATTGCAAAAACTCGCTGTTGTGCAAATTCCTTGCATTACTATTTGATTACTGAAACTCGTTGATGATTGGAACTTGTCGTTTTATCAGTTCACTGTCGAAACTCTGGGTTGCACGAATTTGCAACACTATATGTTGACTGTTGAAACTCTTTGTCGTAGGAAGTCGCTAAATTAAAAAAAAAAATAAAAAAAAATAGGTAGCGTGGCAGTACGCCTTCAACCTCGACCGCTGCTGGTCGCTGAGGACATCGGAAGTGGGCGCTGCGAGTGACAGGCGTCGTGGCCCCTGGCCTCAACGAACAGTAGGTGCCCCTCTCCGGGTTTCCTCACAATGTGAGAGAATATATGAAAGAGACCCTAGACGTGGCACTCTGTACCATGCGTAACACCCAGAACGATGGCCCTCGAGGGAACGACAGGCCACCGCCCGGTCCACCTGTCCCGCGATGGGGAGAACGACAAAACGGATGGTGAAACGAACCTGGAGGCCAAGGGGGCTGGAGGAACGACCGGGAGATAGGGGGGAATCCTGGTCCCGATTGGGGGAATTCCCATTGGAAGGATGCTAGAGATGGAAGGTGGGGAGACGCCCCTCAAGCAAGGACTTCTGGGCCACGGTCAGAGATTAGGGCCCCACCACCGCAAACGTTGCCGCTGGCTCCTCCTGCGCCTGTAGCTGCTGCACCACAAGGGGGTCCACGTCCCAGCAACCCGCAAGCCCGAAGCGGGTGTGTCTATTGCAATCAACAGAAAAATTATCGTGAGAAATGAAAGTCGAAAAAACATTCCATAAAAAAAAAATCCTTCATATTTATAAATTATCATTCCCATGTTTGTCAAATTCTAAAATTTTCAGTTTTATTTGATAAGTTTCCGTCTAAATATGAGCTTTCCATTCCAACTATATTTATTTGTTCAAGATGGAATGAAAGTCTGGACGAGTTTATGAAATGTTTTAATTTAACTTTCATTCTACTACAACAAATATCTTCTAATTTAGATTGGATTAATTTATTTATGACTGAAAATTCTTACTTAGAATGACAGTCCAATTAAAATATTTCATGAACTCATCCAGACTTTTATTCCATCTCTAGCATGCAGTTCAAATAAGAAGGGATACCCCATTATTGGAAGGAAAGTTTTCAAGTAAGACGAAAAATTTTAAAATTGGAATGACATTTTTTAAGATGGAATGAAAATTTGAAATTTAGAATGTAATTTTACTATAGAATGGATATTTAATTCTGGGAAATTTTTCTGTTGATGAAGAAAGTCACATCAAAAGGAATTGTCTTTATCTTACGGAGGCCTTAAGGTTAAGGGTGGTGAAGCTAAACGAGAACAAATGGGTTGTGTAGGGAGATAGTGGAGAGGCGGTCTCCTTCTACCCATCAATGAAGGTGAACGTGGACAAGAGGATGACCCTCAAGGAGGCTTGGCTAGGAAAGAAACTAGAAATAAGGAGCACCTCCAACACATCCCATATCCAAATGACGGAGTCACCTGAGGGAGTATCCATTAGAGAACCCCAGGTGTCTAACATCAAGTTCGTAGAGACTCAGCCTGAAGAAGAGAGGCCTTGCCTAAGGGTGAGAACACAGGTTGGGGCCGAGACATCTAAAAGCCAAGAAAGCTTGACGAGAGATGCGGGTGAAAGGAGCGGTGACAACGACCAACCAATGGCCAACGCCAAGGTCGCTGAAGAAAAGAAGGAGGAACCCACTTCACCCAAATCGCCTAGGAAAAAGGGTCCTAAGAAGTTCGAAATGAAATGCACCTTGGATGAAATAGACACTGTAGGCCCCCTTAGGAGGACCCTGATGCAGCCTATGCAGTGCACGCTTTTGGAATACCTAGCCGCCAGCAAAAGCGTCAGGGAGGAGCTCCTAAGCATCACGAGGAAGGTAAGAGTCCCGCTCGCAGGGGGACCCACGGTGCGAGGGGATGGTCCGACCAAGGAAGAGGTACAGTCCTCCCACATTACTATGGAAGAACTGCCAGCAAATTTCTTCTCAGGTGAAGAAAACCAAAAATTCTATGTGTTAGGGAGCGGCCAGCTCCAGGCGGTGGTAAGTGGGAAGAAGATGAGGGCTCTAGTGGACAATGGGTCCGAATCTACGGTGTGTAGGGACTCTGTCGCGAGGGAGCTAGGGTTGGAGATAGATCGAGGGGTGTCAATGTCAATGGTAGTGGCAGATAACAAGTTACAACCGGCGGAACGGGTGTGTCATAGCCCCGTGATAGAAGCCGCGGGCGTTGAGACCACAATCCCAATTTTTACAGTTAAAGAATGTTCCTCCGAGTTAATCCTCGGAAGAACCTGGCTGAGCGTGGTTCACACTACCAATGTTGACTTGCCGGATGAGAGCCGGACGCTCTCGATCCAAAGTCCGGATGGAATCCGAGTGGTCCTAAAGACCGTAGACGCGCAAGATGAACGCAACCGGACCAATATTCCTAGACACAAGGGGAACCAATCAAGGGTATGTCAGGTCTGTATAGAGGAGGCGCTCTCTACGGATAAGGAACCCCAGGGAGACCGATTGGAAATTGAGGACGTCGGAAGCAGGGTCATTATCAACGGTATAGGGTACGAGAAGGAGGACGGTGAGGAGGAGTTCGGTGGATGTGTGAGCATGTCTTTTTTGGAGGAATCCCCCTAGTCGGCGGAATCAAGAAACATAAAACCATGGCGGAGAGAGTAAAATCAGCCGCGGTCAGCCGGGATAGAACGGGGGAAGCTACAATATCGGAGGAGGAGATAGTCGATATCATCCGGAAAAGGAAAGAGACTGAAGGACAAAGGATAACGGCCGATAGGTTGGCCAAGATGGATATAGGGGATGGGAACCTCACGGAGGAAGAGAAGGGATTCATAGCAATGACCCTAAGGGGTTGCGATAAGGTCATTTTCTTTGATGACTCGGAGAGAGGGAGAATCGACCCAAGGTATGCTAAGCTCACCTGGATCCACACGATCCCACACGTACCTTGGAAGGATAGGCCCCAGATGAAGTATGCTCAAAAGGAGAAGGAGGAGATAGTGGTTTTTATCAAGGAAAAGATCAGGACGTTCGTTGCGGAGCCTTGTGAGAGTGCTTACTCCAATAAGTGGTTCTTTCTGAGAAAGGGGGGTAGCAACAAACTAAGGTGGATAAAGAACCTCCAAAAGACCAACGCGGTCACTATAAGGGACGTCGGATCCATACCGGAGGCAGACCTACTTGAGGAAGGATCGGCAGGTCGCTCGATATACTCAAACTGCGATCTCTTCTCAGGGTATGACGAGATCCCCTTAGACTATCGCGATAGGCATATGACAGTCATGCATACGCCTCTAGGGCTGGTCCAAATGATGGTGGTACCCATAGGGTGGACGAATGGCATGGCAGTGTTCCAAAGGGCTATGATTGCGGTCCTCAAGGAGTTCATACCTGAAAAGGTGGAAGTCTTCCTTGACGACTTCCCGATAAAAGGGCCGGTCGAACGGGATGAGACGGAGGTCTTTCTCGGGGTAAGAAGGTTCGTAGTAGACCATATGAGCGATGTCAGGGATGTCCTTGTGAAATTGGACGATGCTAACCTCACGGTGAGCGGAACCAAGAGCCGCTGGGGCGTGTCGTCCATCAAGATATTGGGGTTCATTTGTGACAAGGGTGGGCGGAGGCCCGACCCTGAGAAATTAGAGAAACTGATGACCTGGCCATCGCCACTCAAGTCCATAACGGAGGTCAGGCAGTTTCTAAGGGTAGTGGGCTACTTGAGAATCTTCATAAAAGGGTACGGTGAGAAAGCGGAACCTCTTAGCCGACTTCTTAGGAAGACGGAAGGATGGATTTGGGGAGAGGAACAAGCCTCGGCCATGGAAGCCTTGAAAGAGGAATTCCGCGAAGGGGGGCAGGTCCTAGGAGTTCCATTCTTCGAAGACGAGGAGGGTCGCCCATTTATAATTTCCACGGATGCGGGGCCTAACTCGGTAGGAGGCCTCCTGTCTCAAAAGGACGGAGAAGGGAAGGAGAGGCCGTTGCGATTCGAGAGCAGGACCTTGAACCCCGCCGAACGGAGTTATAGCCAATTCAAGAAAGAAGTGTTGGGGGTGCTAGATTGTCTAAAGGCTTTTCGCCATTATCTATACGGGCGACGATTTCTCCTAAGGGTGGATCCGACAGCATTGGCCGCGGTCCTTCAAAAGGATTTTTCGGTGACCGATCCGACCATCGCCCGCTGGATGATTCATATTAGGCTTTACGACTGCAGGGTCGAGAGGATATCGGGCTCCAAAAATCAGGTTGCGGACGGTTTGTCCCGGCTTCCCATTCGAGAGGGGGACCTACAGAGGCTTAAGGAGGAAGCGGTAACCATGACCAAAGAAGAGGTAATGAAAATAGCCGCTAACAGGGCGCAAATAGCGGTGAGCAGCCGGGAAGAGGAAGGGACTCTGAGGACCTTTCTCGCGAATCTCTATGACGGTAAGTACCGGGACATAGGGCTGTACTTAGCCGGTAGGGAAACAGGGACCGAAAGAATCCGGCAAGAGACGCTGGGGTATTGCATGCGAGGAGGCCATCTCTTCAAGAGGCCCACCAAGTTTGCAATACCCATGAGGGTACTGTGCGATCCGGAGGAAAGAAGGGCGGTCATAAAGGAACTCCACGACGGGGTCGTCGGAGGTCATAGGGGGGTGAAGGGTACGTTCGATAAGGTCCGTAGGCTTTATTGGTGGGACGGACAATACACGAAAGTAGAGAAATACTGTTCAACGTGTGAAGTTTGTCAGAAGAGGGCGATGGTTTGGTACAAAGAACCCTTAGTTCCATCGCTTCCCACAGTTCCGAGTGAGAAGGTCCACGTAGACTTAGTAACCATGCCAAAAGTGGTCGGCGAACTTCAATATATAATCAACGCCCGGGATGACCTTACCGGGTTCGTAGAAGCAAAGGTCATTAACCACCGCTTCCCACAGTTCCGGGTGGAGAGGGGTCACCAGACGCCTGTGGACGCTCTAGCAAAGTGGTGCAAAGGCCACGCGGAACAATGGTCGAGGTACTTGCAGTACGCGGTTTGGGCCGATAATATCACGGTCAAGTCTAGTACGGGGTACCGTCCTTAGACCCTTTGGTTCGGTAGGCACTGTCCCTTACCCATCGAGTTCCACATTGACACTTGGACGAGTGTCTCGTGGAAAACCAACATGTCTAGGGATGAACTGTTGGAGGCACGGATACAAAAACCGGGGTAACCGCGGCCAGTGAGAACGTCGAGAGAGAGAGGGTGAAAGGAAAAGATAGGTGGGACAAAAATCTGCAGGTCCGAAAGGCGCCGATAGGGGTTAACAACCTAGTACTGATGTACGATTCGTCACTAGAAAAAACCTGGAGCCGGAAATTGGCGAACCGATGGATGGGGCCGTATAAGGTCGTAAAGGGACTTGATGGAGGGGCTTGCATGCTCGTGGAATTAGATGGGAGTAGGCTACGAAACCCTATCACAGGGGCTCGTCTCAAAATCTTTCGATCGAGAGGGACCCTTGGAGAAGAGTCGGGGCGGAAAGGAAAAGAAGTTATTGACACGGAGGTGAGCGTAACCCACGAAAAGGGGGAGACCTCCAAACAAGGAGCCTCTTCTCGACCCCCAAAGAAAGGGTATAAGGTTCGAAAAACTGCCCTNCCACGAAAAGGGGGAGACCTCCAAACAAGGAGCCTCTTCTCGACCCCCAAAGAAAGGGTATAAGGTTCGAAAAACTGCCCTACCAAAGACCCCTACGAAGAAGAAACGACCGAGGGAGGATGACGGAGATACTGACCGATTGAGGAAACACCGGTTGAACGAAAGGAGGAATGCGTCTAGGAAGGCCCTAAGACTCAAACGTGAGAGAGAGGAGAGAAAACGGAAGAGAGAGAGGCGCGATAAGAGGATGAGGAGACGCAGACAGGCGTAAAAAGGGAGAGGAGAGTGATGTACCGTAGTTAGAAAAACGTGTTATGAGAAAGGTGATATGTCGGAGGGAAAATTGTACCATAATGTACCATAGTTAGAGAAATGGGTGTCGTGAAGGGCAATGAGTCGCAATCCCAAGAAGGTATTGTACCATAGACCGGTGTCGTAGGGTTGGAATGTGTCGTGGGTCATGGAAGGCGTCGTGACAAAACAGTGGGAAAGGGGCAGCATGATTTAACCAGGGAAATGGGATGAAACAGGAGAAACATTTCGGGGGTAAACATTGGGCAAAGGGCAACGAGAGGGACTCGTCGGGGACAGCGAGAACTGGGGTGTGGGCTGGTTGTCGGGCGGCTGCCTACCAGCTGATGGTTTTTTTTCTTAAATATAGGAAACATTTTCTTTCTTTGCTGTTTTTTGCGTGGTTTTGACGTATGCATGCGTGTGAGTATGCTGTTTTTGGATGTCCTCGGGCTTCCGGGCCTTCATAACTAACCCTTCGATTGACCGAAGTGGTGTTCCGAATCTTGGTCGCAAGCGGGCTCGGACGGATCATGAAAGACGAGAGTTTTCGGAATTGGAAACTGAAAATGCGGGGCAGACGATGTACATCTGAATGGGCCTTGGACGGAACAAGAGCGGGCAGCCGGTGAAAGTCCAAAACTTCTGTCGTGTGCATGGTCTGCGGTGCCGGGAGATCGAATGGAACGTCACGATGGCCGACGCGATCCTGATGTTGAGGCCGCACCGGAAGGCGCCCACGGCCTCATGGTGCAAGTTAAAGGATCAGGAATAAAGAAACTAATGGCTTGCGAGGCGGGCTGGTCTACTATGAGCACAGATACTCCTCGCCGGGGGCACGAGCTGGGGTGTTCCGGGCCCAAGAAGGGGCGTTGACCGAGTTGGGACAGATCACCACCAAATCTGGGAGGGGAAAACTACGGCGGCCTGAGGCCGACCCCGTATCTAGGCGGTCTGGAATGGCCAGGTGTAAGAACCGCACGGAGGAAAGTGGAAGTCAAAGGGGAGAGGGGGCTCAGGCAGACTCCATTTTTCATCAGGGCAGCCAAAAGGCTAGTGGCGACACCAGGGCCTGGCGACTATGCCACCGGCTTGGAGGCCGACCTTTTGCATACCATGAATATCCTGAATAGTGTCGTCCGACCTGCACCTTTACGAACGATGCTGCAGCAATCCGGAGCATGAATGCTGCACGAAGCCGGGAAGAATGGCTGACTAAGTAATCAAGCCAGTTGGGTACTCGCTTCAACGGCCGAAACTTGAAGGAGGTAGCGGATGAGGAAGAAGAGAAGAACGACCGATAGGCGAAGAAACGGCGGTTGGAGGAAAGGAACCGCTCACCGGTTGTCAACGGTGCTGAGAGCTGGTCGAAACCGAAGCCGAAAAACGGACAGGCTCGCGCCGTCCTTTGGATGAAATGGAGGTGAGGAAGGAGGGGTTTCCGAACGAGTGGAGGCGCTTGATACGGGCAGTCAGAGGCCGTTCGTCTGAGGGACTCGCCGGATGAGGAGGCAAGAAACTGAGGGAGACCTCGTCTGATGACAAAAGCAGGAAGTTATGGCGCGTACTGGGACTTGTGGCGAAAGGCACGCCGAGAGAAGGACTCGTGGGACCGGATTAACGTGGTGGCGGGGGCTACGGCTCGCGAAGGGGCTAGCCACGAAGATTTTTCGGAGATGGTTGCAGGACCATCGCTGGATCAGGGGAGGGGCTTCAAAAGTGGGGGCCTTTGATCCGGATAACCAGCAGGGAAGAGGGCGGAACCCGAGATTTCGGCGTAACATGTGTAAATTGAAAAGAGGGAATCTGGTGCAACCGCGCGCAGAAGCCAGCTTGAGGATGACAGTCACGGCATAAGCGCATACGACCCACCGTGCGGGAGTTTGACTGGCTCATGGAAAGACCGACTGTATAACGAGGGAGTTCTGGGTCTGGTTGATGAGAGGAGAGGAGCCGGCGGAACAAGACGACCGGGTGGGGAGTCGAAGCGAACTGGATAAGAAAAACGGGGAGGGCGAGGATACATCGCTCAAGGACAAGAAGCGCTAAGGGAATGAGAGCGCTCACCAAGCGGTTCGGAATGAGGGCGCGGCGCGCGGTTCTTGATAACCATCGGGAAGAGAAAACTACTCTGCTAAGGAGCAATGGCGGATTGCCTGACATCACCTCTCCAAGGGGCCCGCCTAGCTGGAGAAAAAAGGGGGGGAGCGGACTGCGAACCGTCGCACAGGAGGAAAGTGCACGGATTTTTGCAGGAGATCTTGGGCGAGCGGGTCTTGAGCAAAGAGGGGGGGGTTTTCTCGTGGGCTGAGAACAGCGGCAGGAAAAATGGTTGAAGATGAGCGCCTCCGCGCTCGCTAGCCTCCGAGGAAACGAAGAAGGAACGACAAATGAAAGGAGTGAGAAGGGAAATATGAGGGAGAGAAGCCAGCGACTCGAGCGCGAAGAGGGATTGGATGGGTAAGAGAACGGAGGATCGAGGGAGAGACAGCGGGAAGACGAAAATTTCGCGAAAACCTCGAAATTCTCCCGCCCATACTAAAGCTATCACGACGCGGACAGCTAGAGTTGGCCGGGCCGAGAGTATATAAGGGGAAAAGGAGAGAAGGGGGGGGGGTGCACGAAGAGCACGATCGGGAGCACGAGAGATTCTATGTGCGCACAAGCGAAAGACGGTCTCGTACGGGGTAGTGCTCGGCGTCCAAGAGAAAAGGAGAGAGGAAGAGATAAAGAAAGGGAGTTCTGCGCTCGTGCGCTCGAAAGAGAGAGGAAGAGAGCCCTCCGTTCGTGAACTCGGGAGAGAGAGAAGGAAAGCCCCAAGCACGCGGGCTCGTTCGAAAGGGGGAGAGGGAGAAGTGCGCTCGCACGCTCGTTAGAGAGAGAGAGAGAGAGAGAGAGTGGGAAACAGAGTTTCTCGCTTGTGCGTTCGAGAGAGGGAGAAGGTGAACTCTGCGCTCGCATGCTCGTGAGAGAGAGAGAGAGAGAGGGAGGGAAAAGAGAGTTTTGCGCTCGTGCGCTCGAGAGAGGGAAAGAGAGTTCCGCGAGCTCAGAGCTCGTGCGCTCGTTTGAGAGAGAGAGAGAGAGAGAGAGAGAGAGAGAGAGAGAGAGAGAGAGAGAGAGAGAGAGAGAGAGAGAGAGAGAGAGAGAGAGAGAGA